TACAACTATCTAGGATGACCATGGTGTTATGGAGTTGCACTCTTCACGCTCAACATATCTGTAATCAGGAATAGATGTTATTGCTATTGATGATGTTTCCTCTTGCTATTGATGATGTTTCCTCTTGCTATTGATGATATTTCCTCTTGCTATTGATGATGTTTCCTCTTGCTACCCTTAATCTAGCCGACATGACCAATCAAAACTGAGGTTTTGGTCCTTGTCGAGCTGACAACTGCGCTAGTGGCAGATTAGGTACGGCGGAACATTACGGTGGAGTGTAGATGTCTTGGTAGCAGCACCTTGCCATCCTGTCACGTGCTAATCCGCCACACGCTAAGTGCATAAAAGTAGTCGGCCCGCTTCACTCTTTTCTCAGACATTCTAACGTCGTTCCCATCCCCTCTCAGCTACTGTTCAACAGAATCAACACTCATACGACCATCACTCGGTGGAGAGAAGAAGCTGAACCGTGTACTTCAGACCGATGTCCATGCCTGCGAACTAATCCTGTCGAAACCTATTCCACATCCCACCTTTCACTTCGCCCTTTATTCCCGCTGTCCTCTACGCTCCAACCACCGTTCACCTCCATGCGCAGTCACACGAAAAACTTACAGCTCGACGGTGTATACTCCGTCCATTTCAGGAGAAGCTTGTGATTTCGATGACACGGACCTAGCTAGGAGTTTGCTGCTACTCGCCAGGGTTGGTATCTCTCACTCCTGATCCATCTTACGACCTGGGAAGCCAATTAAACATCGAGTACAGTTTCAGGGGGTGTGCTTCAACTATGGCCCGCCACGGATTTAGCGACGGGGACTGCTTAATCTTCAATTCAATCTAACACGAGAAGCACCTGACATACTGGGATCATTTGACGTGAAATTCGTCGCCAAGCTCGAATTCTGCCTTACCGGGACACGATCAAACTGATTTAGGTTTGCGCGACGCATCAGCTGAGACTGAGTTCGATCATCAACGCACGAGTAGAAGTGGAAAACCTGGAGGGCTTTCTTTCCTCAGACTCAGATGGCAATGGGAATGAAAAGAGGCCGGTTGGTGGCACAATGGATGTCCAGCTCCTGCGGACGCTTTCTGGTTGAGGAGAGTGAGATCGCTAGATTCGTCCCCCTTTTGACTTGCCTTCTTGCAGAAGTACGAAGGTAGGCATAGGTTAAGTGGCCCGGTGGCCAGGTGGTCGGGTGGCTGAGCTGAAATTGGGCTTGCAAACCGAGGAAGCAAATATGTGTGATGGACAAGTTGCACATCATCTTACTCGAGGGCCGGTAAATGTGAGAAAAGTGAGTGATTGTATTCACGTACTGTTTGCTTTAGAAACTCGGCGACGACAGAAATCCGGTTGCATCTCCAGTCAGCGAACCGCAGAGGGTGGTAATCTTTCTGACCTGATGAAACCAAAGACGACAGTGTAACAGATCGATGGAGGCCAAAATTCGACAGCATTGACCGCACCGCAGCACACATCAAGGGCAAGCACAGATGGCCGCAACAAGTGCAGATCTTAGGGCGGTGGCCGTCAAGGGTATTTAAGAGCCGAGCTTTCCCAGCTCGCTCCAGATTGATTTCTGCTTCCTATTTTCTCCTACACTTTGGAAGATATAATCCCAATCTTCATTGTTGGCCGGATTATTTCGCTCAAGTTCTTTATGTGTAGCCGTAAAGTGTCGGCTTCATTGAGGGTTTGTGCTGTCTTGAAAGAATCTAGCTGCACAATCATGTCAGAAACTGTGTACCCTAAGGATTCCATCCACCTGACCCTCAAAATCTGGTCAAAATCTCTCGAGGATGCAGTCTCTGGGATTCATGAATGTTCCAGCACGACTACAGCTCATAGTACGCTCGATCCTACTCCCTCTCGGAGGCATCTGACTTATTTCTCGAGTAGGTGTTAGACTCCGAACGAACCATGGCGGCACAGACGTTTTATCTTCTGACGATGACGACGACCTTCCTTCAATTTCTGATATCTTGGATTGGGAGAGGAACCGACGACGTGAAATCATCGATCTCACAGGGGATGAGGATGTATGTACTGAAGATTAAAAATTGTTCAGAGATCTAACTCTCATAGAGCTCGATCCTCTCCGCCCCCTCGTCACTGGCTTCAGAGCCAAACACGGCTCGAACACCGATGGCGCCAGCGTCAGCTCTTACAATGACTCCACCACAACCTAAGCGGCCTACGCAGCAATCTAGCCCGCTTATGACGCCAATTCCGAGTGCGGCTTCTTCGGTAGCCCCAATATTGAGAGGGACGTTATTCCCAAACCTACGGACCTATTCAGCAAATCGAGGCTCAGATCCACCAAGCATAACCATAGATGCAGACCACCGGGTTTGCAGCGGTGGGGAAAAGAGGAGAGCTTTAAGATGTCACCCTGTACTCCTAGAGGATATTTGGGAGACGACCAGCACAAATATGGGCGCACCGTCTTCCTTCAGCAGTACAGCAACTAGCGAAAGTGCTGCTGGACGCCTTGGACCTGATACAACTTCGCAGTCCTCTCAGGAGACGACGGATTCGGTTGAAATCCCTGAAACGCCACCAGCGACCGAGGAATTACGGTACCTTGAGGCTCCCTCCGTCGTGGGAGTGAAGGGGAAAAGGCTGGACACGAAACGACCTCAGTACCTCGTTCTGTGCTGGATGGACCCTCGAGAAGAGCATGTGGCTAATCCTGATCTCGCTCGTCGCTGTCGGGAGTATGACGAAAGGGTTTCACGAGATGTGGCACAACGCGAACGTCTATCCACTCTCAGGTCTCGAAAACATACCCGAACACAAGACCAAATGTATGCTGGCCAATCTCGCAAGAAGGCCAAAATAAATGGAGCCACCTCTACATCTCATGATCGCACCTGTTCCTCACGCCAAGTGGGGGAATATGTCTTCCTGGACTCAGATATCCATTCGGCGAGCATCGTGGCCATCTGAGTAACGCATACCGTTGTTCAACACCAGGTTTGGCCCTGGGAACACTTGTCTGAAGGGTGTCAAGACGCGTGGAAGAGTGAGAGGCAGTTGAAGTTGTCGATTGACCAGGGGATGGCGCCATACCATAGACCGGCTGCGATCCGCTCAAGCCTGGATAGGGTCCGCAGCAGCGGAAGCTCGGATACCTTCAAAAGTTCCCAGCGAGCTTTATTCCCTTCATGAAGGCAGACAAGTCCATGGACTCTGCGCCGGCAGAAGGATGTAAGTCCCCCTCAATCTACGCTCCCTCGCTAGACTCGACGGATAGCTGAAACTACTTCGCTCTTAGATGACGCCGAAGCCGTCGATTGTGCCTAGGAAGCGTCCAGGTGGTTGGGTGGAGATTTCAAGGCCAGGAGACTTTGCTGGCGACAGAAAGTCCTTTGACTTTGTTCACTTCGTACTCGCTACATATAGCGTTGATCGATAGTTTGAAGATATCTCCGGCTTTGAAGGTCATTACGCTGCGGTGTTCATGATCCATGGTCATGATTACAAAGAATCGGCGCTTTGAAAGGTCAATAGCTCTTTACATCGAAAAAGTATGCACAGTGTTTCAACCCCCTAGAGACAGCAACATCTGCACTGCTGACATTCCCACATAATCGAACGGGTTTATCGACGCGCATATACCAAAGGACGAACTATTACACCCACAGCTGAGCCGGTGGCAGTCACCGGGGCTGTTATCTCGTGCCGCAAATCACCCCTGACTGGTCCTAGTTCCCGATCCCTAAATCGGCAAGGACCGCACCGAGCTACGTAGGGCGTAGACGACAAGTAATCTTTACCATGTGATTGAAGATCGCTCCAATTGAGTGCGAGGGTATTTGTTCATTGAGTCCGGAGAATGCGCTCGAAGAAAGAGGATAGTTTGGATGTTGAGGAGGACTTAGGATGGAGAGACGAAAGCGCTTTGCCAGAGGTTCCAATAGGATGATTCAACCATCGGTAATAGCCCCCGGCGGTTGCTCATCCTCTAGTGGCCTGATTTCATTGGGCTGGGTGATCTATTCTCAGCGACAAGTGCCTCGGTCTCTGACCACTCTAAACTTTCATTTGGCGCCGCACGCTCCATGGAACAAAATCCTATAAAGTTCACGGACTTTCTGGCCTGTGAAGATAGTTAGTGACTTGGTGTCAATTCTCGCTACCAAAAACAAACTCTTTTACCTCCAATCTTACACTTCCACGTCGCTGTCGCTAAACCTTCCGGTTTGGCCCAATGTCCGATCTCGTCGCAAAACTTACCGGCCTGGAACAGGTTCTCCATGAGATCAAAACGTCACTCAATATCCATGTCGCTGCCTCGATTTATGGCCCGAAAGATCAAGCGCAATGTGGAGAGCCAGAGTGGGCACCTACCTTGCGAGACGTGATATCTCGTTATTCGAAAGACATTCAAAGTATCAGAGAACAAATCGAGAGAGACTCGAGCTTTCACAAGAGCCTTGAGTGGATTGAGGAACCTGACACTCAATGTGCCGCTACGCAGCCCCAATCATGTTACCAACGGTCATCCCATTCCATGGCGAAGCAATACAAACAGCACATTATGACGGCTCCGGAGATCGCTCAAACTGGCATAGTTTCTTCGCCCAGTCCGACTGAAGTCCTCATGCACCAGGAAGAGAATCCAGGAATTTACATTGACTCTACGAGAAATGTACCTTCACTCTGCACTCCTGCGAAACTCGTATCGCTCACTTCCGATAGTATTCCACATCGGCTTGAACATGGCATTATAGTTCTCATGCCTTCCAAGTCTCAATATCGCGATATGGCACTCCTTCGCTTCCAGGCTGAAAGTCTCGGCGCACGCACGACCGGAGTGTTCAAGTATGTGCTGCCGGAAGATCTTGAACTGGACATACAAGCTACGAGTAATGGAGCAACACAAGTGTCAAAATTTGGATCTTCTCTCACGCCGAACGGGTCTCTGCACATATCCCGTACGGAGCATACGGAGATGCTCGAGATGAGGGATCCTCTAGATCGTACAGACGAACCTGTCGAACCCGGTGAATTGGCAGACATACTAGAGCAACGTCTTACAGATCCGTCGGCCATTGTGAAGATGCAATACTGCACAGATATGCCGGCACGAACTGTTGAGGATCGACTCAAGCTAGGCTTGCCTGCCCAGTCGCCCATCTGGCCTTTGAAGGGCAATGAGTTGCGCCGCACTAAGTGCAGCATTCCGGGACTCCATTGGCCGTTTGCTTATCAGTCTGGCATGCACGGATCCGTGTTCTCTCTACACGAAGAGGATAAAAACCTCATATCACTCAATTGCTTGTACTACGGTCGTAAGCTATGGCAGGTTATAGCGCCAGGAGATAGCCACCTCATCGAAAATGAGGTCAAACGCTGGAAATGTTCGCAGAAGGTTAGGCACGCTGCTCAGTATATTCCGCGATCCGCGCTCAAAGCACTAGGCGCCTCCTTCGTTACATTTGTACAAGGACCACGAGAAGTTGTCGGTGTCTTTGGCGATGCATACCACGAGGGAGGGGCCTGTGATATCACGAGTGCTGAGGCAGTGAATTATGGGGCCACAGGGTGGACTACCAGCGGTTCCATAGACTGCAATGGTCAATGTCCTGGATATCCAATTCTCAACCGTCTGTTGGAATTCCGTCAAGCCGACGAACCGCAATACGAGCAAGGATGCGAGCCTCTCAGCAGTCCCTCGGGCCCCCTCCAGACACAAGACCATCAGCAAGATAGCCAGATCAAAACTAACACAACGGCTTGTCACATCGTCATCACAGAGAATCCTCTCCATGGTCACAAACAGCCAACTACAAAGGCCACCAGCGCTAGACACCGGCGGACCAGCGTCGGCTCCAGCGTCAGGAGCACGGTTTCATCGGCAAGGAAAACAACAAGCTTGTTGAAGAAGCGAAAATCCACGGTGGACCATTCGCGGCTCCTCAAAAAGAAAAGGATCATTGGCTCGCAACGCTCGGTTTCTCAAGGGCTACAAGAGGTCATCATTGAAATGGAGAAGATGGAAAAACCTTTGCGAACTT